CTATATAGTCTTAAGTAATTGGCCAGCATTTGGGGGCTGTTACTCAGCTTTTCATATCTGCAACTAAAATAACTGATAAGACTAACTTAGAGCAGGAAAAGGTATTCTTCTTTCTTCTTTGTATTGGGGGAGGGGAAAAACTGGGGATTGAACACAGGGTCTTGTCTTTAGGACCTCATTAAATTGCTGGCTGTCCTCAAAAGCAATCCTTCTGCCTCTGCCTCCCAAGTTGCTGGGATTAGATGTGCACTGCCATGCCTAGCAGAAATGGTTCTTTTGACTCACTGTCCCAGAGGTTCAGTCCATTTTCAGTCGACTCCTCCATTACCCAGGATCTGAAGTGAGGCAGAAGGGTCTGGTAAAAGAAAGTTCTCTCCTCATGGTAGCCAGAAAGCAGAGGGAGAAGAAGCGCAGGGAGGGGGAGGGATAGAATCACTCAAGGGCACACACCTCCAGTGACCCACCTCCAGCCATGTCCCATCTGCCAGCAGCTACCACCCAGTACGGTAGTCCTGGTAGGTTCCAGCTCTCATAATTTCACCTCTGAATATTCCTGCAACAACACAGGAGCTTTGGGGGGACACCCATATCTAAACCCCAACAGGGACCTTTCATGAACAGTCCATATACTTAAATGCTTCTGAGTAGAGAGTTGTTCATGAGAGAGACCAGAGCTGAGTACATATTTTGCTTCATTTATATCTCACAATGACGCTGTGCCTTTGGTATCTCCAATTTTATTTTTCTGATGAAGAAAGTGAGGCCCACAGGGATGCAAAATTTGCTCGAAATTTCTGTACTCCCAAGAGGTGAGCACAAGTCTCAGCCTAGGGTTTTAGGCTCAAGTTCTTCCTTCCTCTAACAGCTTCCTTTCAGAAGTCACAGAGCTCCACTGGACCACCCTTACATCCATTCAAACCCCTTTCTACATCATCATGTAAAATTGTCAATGGATTTTTAAGTCTTTTAAAATCTAACTAGCATGTGGCATTTTAAAAAAGCATTTTTATCGAAAATAAATGAAAACATCAATTAACACACTGTATAATATGGAAAGAAAATAATGGCCTACGGAATCAGACTTGTGCTCCTTTTATCAAATATCTATTCATTTTTATTAATGTGTTAGTATTTATCATTATGTTAGGCACTGAGGCAGAGTGGTACGGGTGCCACCAGGATGCTGGAGCTCAACTTCCAGTCATTTAACTTTATATTAAAATGTACAGAACAGAAATATCATCTATTTTGCAGAATTTGGAACTATGAATATAGTATATCACACAAAGGAGCTGAAAACGTAGTCCACCCAAAAGCCTGCATGTAGAAGTTTAGAACAACTTTATTCATAATAGGCAAAACTTAGGATACAACCAAGACGTCCTTCAGCAGGTCAATGGAAAGTAGTCTGTGATATATTCAGATAATAGACTATAATTCAGCATTAATAAGAAATAAATTGTCAGGTTATGAAAACACATGGATGAATCTTAAGTGCCTATTACTAAGTGGAAGAAACCAATCTGAGAAGGCTACAGAGTATATGAACATTTGACATTCTAGGAAAGAAAAACAAGGGAGACAAAAAAAATATCAGTGGTTGCCAGGAGTTTGAATAAGTAGAACAAGAAATTTTAGGAATGAAGTCACTCTATGAGATTATAATAATGGATCCACATTTCTTTTATCCAAACAGTACGCACAACACCAAAACACCAAAATGTAATGTGATCTAATGAAATCACCCCATACATTGGGATGATTATGATGCATCAATGAGATTCTTGATTGCAACAAATGAACCATTTTGGTGGGAAACCTTGATAATGGATGAGGCTATGCATTTGTGAGACAGGGGCATATGGGAAATCCCTGTATCTTTCTCAATTAATTTTTCATGAACCTAAAATTAATATTATAAAATTATTTAAAAACACTTCTGGAAGTCAAGGATAAATTAAACCCAGTACTAAAAAGGTTTCCAGAGAAGCACAAGCCTTAACTTCTTGCCTATTACCTTTATTTCTCATGTATATCTCTCCTAATAGCTCCTTCTCTAACCCTGACCCTACCAACTGTGGTGTATTTGAATGTGACAGTTCCACCAGAAAGATGGTGTTTGAAGTTGCTGTTCTGTAAGAACTCTTGACAATCAGTAATCACTTCAGATAAAAAAGTAATATCTAATGTAGTATCAATATAAGTTAGTATTTAAAAAATCACTATACACCTTTGAGAAATAAGTATTTATTTATGTAATATGTACATACTTACAAAACTGATTTTATCTAACACATGATTCTGCATAATATCACAAAAAGAACACCATGTCCCAGAATAAAAATCCATATAATTTATGTTTAACCCAACAACTTTTAAACATAGAATGTTATCAATTTGGCTTCGTGAATCACAAAGTCCTATTTTGAATTTTTTTTTTCCAGCCAAGGAACAGAGTAAATTCAACAGCATGTTAATTTAGTCGACCCTGAGTAATTGCTAACTGCATAATTTGAATAGATATACATTATACAGTTTCATTTATACTCTTAAATGTACTCACACTTACTACCATACTATCTTTTTGCCTTTTTCCATCCTAATTTTCTACTTTATTAATCCTCAAAAGACTGAGGAACAAAGAATGAGAAAGCAATAATAACAAAGAATCAGAAGATGAAACCACCAGCATCACCCAAGGCCTTTCCAACTTAAGAAGTACATGGCATAGCCAGGTCCATGGGTGTCTCAAAAACTCAACAGGGGCGTGGGGTTACAGCCCAGTGGTAGAGGGCTCCCATAGTGTGCTTGAGGTACTGGATTCTACCCCCTAGTACAACAAAAAACAAACAAGAAAAAAAATCCAATACAATAAAAAAACAATACAAGGAGAAACTTGGAACTGAGCAATAATCTGAGGTTGATGTTAAATTAATCTTCTGCATTTTTCCTATTTTTCTCGCACCAATTTAAATAAATAAGTGTAGAAGCTTATAGAATTCACCAACTTGGATTAAAATAGATAAAACATGAAACTCAATAATCTGGGGTTCTTCAGAAGAAAAAAATTTCAAGCAACCACAATAATGATAACAAACTGTGTTAAAGACAGGTTTTCCTAAAAGCTTGAGAAAGAAAAAAAGCAAATAGCTATCTATCACAACTTCCCAAAATGCTCTTGTGGAGTTATTAAGGAAATGGACAAGAAGAAAAGGCACAGAGGAGTTGGAGGCTCTGGCCTTAAGACTGATGATCACAGCAAGACTGTCTGGCTAAGCTGCCAGGAGAGAGCAAGTTCTTTCCTTGATCATAATGTAAAAGGGAAATCCCAGGAGGTTGGGAAAGCTGAGCATGTGGAGTCAGCCATGCTCTACTGCCTTTCAGAGAACTGGGCCAAGGAAACGGAGGCCAGACGAAAGCATGTATTTCTCTCTTCTATCTGCCCTTCTCTCCTCCACCTCTCCCACTCCCACTGTTCAGAAAGCAGCAAAAGGCTCACCAATATTAGGTACAGGAACGCTATCAAGCTCCAACCTAGCCATGGAGCAGCTCTGCCCCAGAAGTTTGAGGATTCCAGGAAATGGCAATGTTTGTGATTCTATCAGAACAATCCTCAATGATATCAAATAAGATGTTTCAGACTTGGAAAAACAAAATGGAAAGAAAAACTCAGATTTTTAGGCTCTATAAAATTTCTCTATAGTAGGAAGGAAAGTAGCAGAAATATTTTAAGTTTGGGCATACCTGTCTTCAGTCTATGGTAGACTGTTTCTGTCATGGGGCCAAAGCCCTGATAAAATACTATTAGAGAAGGATGGACTTAAAGGAGTGAGGAAAATAGTATAAAAGGCTTCTCTTTTCACTCACAAAGAGGGAAAAATGTATTTTGATCCTATTACCCCAAACAAAAGTACACCACAGCAACTTGTTATGTCTTGTTTCTGTTTCTCATTACTCTGACTGATATAAAAGTTGGAATTTCACTTTATGGTGCTCAGAAATGAAAATACATTATAGTTTCTAAATGAATTCTTAATTCTTCTCACTCTCAAGTAAAAAAGGGGGGAAAATGAAATAATTACTTTAAATAACATTAATACAAAGCAAACCTTACATATGAAGACAGTGCAGGATACAACCTTCATCATCCTTTATAAAACTGCCAGATTGTGCTAATTCTTTTACATCAAAATAACAGTATATAAGAGTAAATAAAATCACATTTATATGTGAAACTATTATCAAAGTTATTTGAAGTTGCATAGAGTTCAACTGTACAAGAAAAAACATTTACTTAATTTTTATTTATATAAATCCCAACTGTAAAATATATTACTTGAGGGAGGAAAAAGCTTTCATTAAATACAAACACAACGAACTAAATAAACCAGATTGAATATAAAATAGTTTATTTGAAAATTTCCATAAAAAATAAAGGCAGAATGGCAGTTAGAAAAGTTGTGCTTAAGGCAAATGAAAGAAGAAGCAACCATACTTAAAATCTGAGGCATACCCTCTCATAGGCAATAAAGTAATCACCTCTCAAAAATGTCTTTTGTAAAAGTTTGGAGAATGGGTGGAAGCACATACAATGGCCACTGTCAGAATTTATTCTTGGAAGTACTGAACAGTATTATACAAAAATAATATGAATACTCTGATCTAAAATATACTCAAATTATTTGCCCTTTAGTTGTCATATAGCAATGAAAAAATAAAATGTATCACCCAATGTTCATAGTATAAATCTATAAAATGCCAAAAATTAGTTTTTTTTTAAAAAAAAAGGAAACAAGGATGACTTTCCAGATTGTATGTGTACATGATGACTAGATAGAAATGATCAATTCTGTATTTGGCCCACTTTGTATAAAACATGCATAAAAATGTGTGACATCTCTCTAAATACAAGTAGGTGTCCTAAGGAAAATTGTTGAGCAAGCTGCTCTCCATCAGACCTGAGGCCATGTGCACATACAAAAAAACAAAAAGAACAATGTTTTTAAAGAATATTCAATAGACATGTTCCTTAATTAACTATGTCTTCTTTAAAAACAAAACAATCAAGTACACATCTTTAAATTAAATGTCTTTGCACATGAATTTCCACTATATAAATTTGGTATATTAAACTGTGTTATAAATATACTTGTATATTTTTTCTGAGAACTATATGTATAATTATATGATTATAAAAAGGATCTATTTTTTTTCTTCTATTGGAATGATAACATGCCTCTCTAGAAAAAAAAAATTACAGCCTACAGGAAAATTACAAAACTGTTAAATTCATTGAAGCTATTCAAGAAGGTATAACGACATCAAGCTAAAAGTGAAGAAAGTCTCAGTATCCTAGACAGGTCTTCCCTCACATGGTCCTAAGGGGCAGGCGCTGTTTATACATGCCTGCAATTGCTTTGGCAGCACTGTAGATCATCTGTCGACGAGACATGCCAGTAAAAGCCATGTGCCAATCAGTCCGACTGACATTCAGTAAACTTTTTTCCAGAACTTCGCCCACTGTCACCAAAAGGCCTGACCACCTCAGATTATAGTCCTGGGGAGTTAGGCTTTGAGCCTACAGAGAAACAAAATCCATATTACTTATAATGCATTAAAACGTTGGAATTCAATATGTAACATCTCAAAGTAACATCTCTCAGGTTACTTTTAATATAGCTTATGACAAATCCTGAGACACAGTTATACAGGCAATGGTATGAAGTTACAAGGCCATGAAAGAATCAAAATAATACAGCACATATCTACTTTGTTAAAAAAATAACACCATTATGCTCTTTGGTTGTTCCTCAAATATAATCTTGTGTGTGTGTGTGTGTGTGTGTGTGTGTGTGTATGTGTGCATGTGCGTGTGTGTGTGTGTGGTGCTGGGAGTTGAACCTAGGGCCTTGAGCATGTCTAAGTCTTAAATCTCAGAGCTGCACCTATACAGAGCTCAGAGTCAGAAGACTTAAATTCTAGTTCCATATTCAGTGTCACTAGATTATTATCTTTGCTAAAGTTATCATTCTATAACCATAAAATTGCAACCAGAAAAAAAAGGAAACTGCAATAATAAAGGCTTCAAAACCGCATGATTAGTCTGTAGAAAGTATCCCCAGAAACATGATTAGCATGTCAAGTAATGTCCAGTCCAGGACACCAACAATCATTATTATATCATTTGTAGCTGGCCCAACCTAGCTATATCTGCTTCCACTCAAAAGCCAGAAATGGTGTGGTTTTTCATTAGATGTGGTCAGAGGAGGACATCCATACGTAGAATGGATCTACTATATACAGTGATCCCCAAATGTGGTGAGTATTACTATCTGAGGGGCTTCCCTCCACCAAAAAACCTTATAGTTTCTCACATCCTAACTAAGAAATCTAATTGGAAACTCCATAGCTGGTTCCAGGAGAAACAAAACAAATATAAAACAGCTTTCAAGTAAATTTGACAGAAACAGCACACCATCTGGTAAACCTGCTCCAGTGTTGTTTTCCAAAATATATATTGCACTGTCAGTATCTGACTATATGAAAGAGACATGTCAGAAAAATGATTAAGGTCTCTAGAGACACTATAAAACTGTGCCTCTCAAATTGCTATATGAACACAAATCCCAAGAAGTTCTTGTTAAAATGCATATCCTTATTTAGTAGCTCTGGGTATGGCCTGAGAGGCAACATTTTTATCAAGTTCGAAGGCAATACTTAAGATGTTAGGCCAAGGATCACACTTCTGAGGGACAATGTATTTGATATTAACTGCAAAAATCCAGAATAGCAGGCTTGTAAAGTGGGAGAAGGAAGAATCGTTCGCATTTAAGTTTATCAAGCAAAAATTACATAAAACTTTTTCCACATTTTTACTACTATGTCTATTATGGTAACAGTTATTCCTTTAAAGGCTGATTTCTATTCCCTTAAATTAAAAAATTCCAATAATTCAGTAGCACAAACTTAACACATTACGGGATGGATAAAAAGAAATATAAAGAGCTGAATAGCTAGAAATAAAAGGAAGGCATTTCAACGCACACACTACTGTATCTTCTGAATGTTAAAACCATGTGGCAAAAAAAAAAAAAAACCAAAAAACAGACAATAAAATGAAAAGTAAATGCCACCCTTTGAATATCACTCTTCAGTTAACCACATTAACAGCCTGCTGTGCATCTTTCCAGGCCTTTTCCCTCTATTCATTTATATATACTCTAAAGGGTATATATGTACCTGTTAATAGGTAGGATCATACTAGCTGTGTTGGCTTTGACATTTACTTAGCAATATGTCATAGGTATCTTTAGATACTAGTATATGTAGGTCCACTTTGTTCTTTGAGTATCATGTCTATTTTTTTTCCAATCTATAATCCTAAAAGTGAAACAAAAATTGTCTTTTTAAAATGGTCAGACATCTATCACAGGGGTCAGCAAACTTTTTCTATAAAGAGCCCGAGAGTAAATATTTTAGGTTTGGGAACCAAAAAGTCTTTATTACAACTACTCAATTCTGCTGTTGCAGTACAAATGCAGCTATAAACAACATGTAAGCAGACTGCAGGGTGTGTTCCAATAAAACTCACTCACAAAAACAGGGAGCAGGCCAGATTTGGCTGTGGGCCACTGTGTGTTGACCTCGATCTACAGCAACGTTAACAATGACTGTGATAGGAACATCCTTGTAATTATCAGGTTTCTAATGTTTTATCATTAGACCTGAAGTTTACTTTGATTTTCTGGTACACTTATATCCTTCTAATCTTAATTAACAAAGGCTATTTAATAGTACAGTTAATATTTCTAGCAAATACCTTCAATTCTACTGAAATCCTTTTTATTCTTTACTCTGTTCATATGTTGAACTACTAAACTAATTTGCTATTGGCAAATGGTTCTTTGACTCTTGGAATCAATTCTTTATGTTCAGGGTATATGTTCTTCTAATGTATTTCTAAATTTTATTTATTAATTTTACCAATAATTCTGACCTTTAATTCTTAAGTGATAGGACTAAAATTTTCTATGGCGTTAAGAGAGATGCTCTATCAATATGATCATCACCTGTGAATATTCTGTAGCACTCAGGGGTTTCTGATTAGATGGAATTCTTTCACTATACTGCTTCGCTGAGGTAGTTAGGTTGAATCATATGGAAGTGACAACATTTGACTGTTTTTGACTATGAATGACAGCAACTTTGTATGGTTCAACCTAATACTCTTGAAGCAACAAGTAAAATTTATATTTTTCTAGAAAAATCTATCATTTTATTTAATTTTTAAAAGTTAATGGAACAACAGTAATCTATTATTCATTTACAATCTTTTAATCACCTTCTCATTGGAGTGAATTTAGTTAACATCTATAAAATGGTTTTCTTAATCCTCTGAAAAGAAATTATGGTATAAATAAGTTTTAGCAAAATTTCAAAATTCCAAGCATTAATTCTTGGTCCCTTTTCGAAACCATAAACCTATAAAAGGCCAGTGATTGCTTTTAGCAATTTGATAAACTCACATGCCAAATTAATATGTAACTGTATACATGCATATTCTTGGGAGAAAACCCAATAGTTTCAAATGCCAATAGTTTCAGACTCTCAAATGCCGACATGTGCCAAATAATTGTAAGAGGGGGAAAAAGTCTAAATGCCATTTAACAGTACAGAAATTTCAGTATAGATATATGTTCCATTTTGTCCATTAGAGAATTAGAAAAAATTTATACAAAAATATAGAAGGATCATTACTTATGCTTACAATCTTCTGAAAACTACACAGACAGGTACATGGTTAAATCTATTTTCAGTCAACAACCTTAAAGACATACCTGTCACCTAAAGTTTCTAATACTGACTTGTTACTAAAGATGAGTAACTAGAAAGGAAGATCAGATGAAAGAAAAAGGAAATAGAGATAACAGTGAAAGTAAAGATGTGAAATAAAGAGGAAAGTAAATGAAATGTGGACATAAGCAGAAAAGCAAACATTCTGATCTCAGAGTAAGAAACATAATCATAAAAAAAAAGAAGCAAATGACAATTGGTCATTGAATGTATACCTCTCAAAAACAGGGGAAAACAAAAACAGGGAAATAGTAAGACATGGAATGACCAGGAATGACCAGAGATCTGCACAAAGAAACAGACTAAAAGAGAAATAAAACAAAATTAAAACATTTTAAACAAAAAATACATTTAAAATTTGAAGGATAATATTGCAAGTTTCTCTGGAGCATAATGAAAAAGCCAAGAAAACCAACCTGTTGTACAAATTCCAAAGGCACCGGTGTGGCTTGCGTGAAAGCTTCTAGGTGAATGCCATGGACAGGGTCTTCAACTATCAAACAACCAATGTCAAACCACCTGCAACAGAACACGAGTTTCATACTGATTACCTGCTAAATACGTTACAGTGAACAAACAAAAAGGAAAAACAAACTAATTAAAAGAAAAATCAACCTGTAAGAAGACAATCCATAAAAACAACATAAAAAATTTCTTGGCTGGCTAAATTCCAAGAAGAGAAAAACAATCTAGAACAACAGCAAAGGAAAAGTTTAAAGGTCCCCTTGCTAAGACAGGGAAACAATGGAAACTGGGAGCTTAAATATGCAACAGATGAACTTATATTCATTCAAACATGAATATAACAGCTTCTCATGAGTGATATTTTTAAAAATATTACTAGGCTCAACATGAGAAAGTTAATATATTACCAATTTCATTAATATTCAACCAATTAGTAAAGTTATTAGCAATTTTTAAAACGTTCCTCCAAAGGAAAAGATACTTATAGGGGCTGGAGTTACAGCTCAGCAGTAGAGCACTTGCCTGGCATGTGTGAGGCATGGGGTTCCATCCTCAGCACCACACATAAAAACAATAAAGGCCCATCAACGACTAACTAACTAAATAAAGTCTATTAAAAAAATTATAAAAAAGCAAGAGTTTCAAGTTATCACCTAAAGTTTCTAATACTGAGTTGTTAAGACAATTACAGCAACACCAGAATCTCTATTACATGAATTATGAAACAACCAGACACCATGAAATCATGAATTTAAACAACAAAAGCAAAGGAGCAGGAAAATAATCTCTATTCTTAAAAATATGCACATCTAATAAAGTGCAGTGAAATGTAAGATGCGTCAGGAGACTATTTACATATTCAGGGGAAAAAAACAAGTAAAATATGGAGTAACAAAAGCAACTCCRCTGTATATTAAAATGGCAATCTGTAATGCCTATAGTATTCATATCCTAAAACTGCTACAAATTGCTGAGGTTGGCTTTGAACTTGGAATCCTCCTGCCTCAGCCTCCAGAGTCACTGGGATTACAGGCATATGCCACTATGCCTGGCCCTTTTTAGTGTTTATTTTGAGACAGAGTCTCATCCAGTTGATCCTGGAACTTGCCATCCCAAGTAGCTGAGATTAGAGGAGTGATCTATCATGCCAAACTAGTGGGTTAACCTTTTATGGAATTACATTTTAGGATAAATTAGATGATT